GGTCAGCACCCCCCCATTCCTCGCTGGGATGGCCATTCATGCTCTCCAGAGGAGGAGGTGGTTGGTGCTGTCGTCCCGGCCCACCGTCTCGCTGCTGCTGGTCAGGCGGAAATCCTCGTAACCGTCCCCCCCGCTGATCACCAGCATCTTGGGTTTGGAGAGGGCGAGGGCGGGGGCACGGGGACGCGAGGGGTCTCGTTTCTCTGCTTCACTTGGTTTCTCATCTCCTGCCAAGAGCAGAACATCAACATGCTGCCAGATGGCCCCCCATGGCTCCCCTGTTCCCCAGCAGCATCCCATCAGCATCATCCCAGCATCATCATCTCAGCATCATCCCACCAGCAGCATCCCAACATCATCCCACCAGAATCTCACCAGCATCATCCCAGCATCATCTCACCAGTATTATCCCACCAACATAATCCCAGTATCCTCCCACCAGCATCACCCCAGTATCCTCTCACCAGCATCAGCCCACCAGCACCATCCCACCAATATCATCCCAGCATCCTCTTGCCAGCAACCCACCAGCAGCATCCCACCAACATCATCCCACCATCATCCCAGTAGCAGCATCCCACCAGGATCAACCCATGAACATCATCCCAGCATCACCTCAGCATCATCCCAGTATCCCCTCACCAGCATCAACCCACCAGCATCAACCCACCAACATCATCCCACCAGCCTCAACCCACCAGCAGCATCCCACCAGCATCAACCCACCAGCATAATTCCAGCATCATCCCACTAACATCATCCCACCAACATCATCCCAGTATCCTCTCACCAGCAGCATCAAACCACCAGCATCCCACCAGCATCATCCCATGACCATCATCCCACCAACATAATCCCATCAACATCAACCCACCAGCATCATCTCAGCAGCATCCCACCAACATCATCCCACCAACATCATCCCACCAGCAGCATCCCACCAGCACCATCCCAGTATCCTCTCACCAGCAGCATCAAACCACCAGCATCCCACCAGCATCATCCCATGACCATCATCCCACCAACATAATCCCATCAACATCAACCCACCAGCATCATCTCAGCAGCATCCCACCAACATCATCCCACCAACATCATCCCACCAGCACCATCCCAGCATCATCCCACCAACATCAACCCACCAGCATCAACCCACCAACATCAACCCACCAACATCGACCCACCAACATCGACCCACCAACATCAACCCACCAACATCAACCCACCAACATCAACCCACAAACATCGACCCACCAGCATCGACCCACCAACATCGACCCACCAGCATTGACCCACAAGCATCATCCCACTAACATCAACCCACCAGCATCATTCCACCAGCATTATTCCACTAACATCAACCCACCAGCACCATCCCCCCAGCATCATCCCACCAGCATCAACCCACTAGCACCAGCCCCCCAGCACCATCCCACCAACACCCCACCACAGCCATCGCAGCATCATCCCC